GGGACTTCCAGGCCGGACTCCTGTTTACGTGAATTACAATTTACGTCTGGTGCTGAAGAAGCTGCTCGGCCAGATTATCGCACGAATGAACGGAAAACAATGGGTGTACACTTGGTCGCGGGAGGGCAAAGTCTTCGCAAGAAAGAAAGACACGTCGAGTGAGCTGTGTGTAACTTGCACCCAGGACCTGGACAAGATCCAATAGGTGCTGACCTCGGGTATCGTCTTTTCTGCACTAAGCAGATATGTCTGATTACATGTTAACGCCATCAGACATCACGTAACTGCTATCTATCGAACTAAAAAAAAAAGCGTACATCTTTCATTTGAATACGCAGTCTCTTCTGAATAAGGACAATGACTTGCAGAGATTGTTTTCTTTTTTTTTTGGCTTTTCTTTCGATGTTGTGTTGCTTTCCGAGAGGTGCTATCAGCAGGACAATGAAGTGTTTAGGATGCCTGACTATGAACCCCTGTACCCCAACCGCCCTGTCAAGAAGGAGGGCGGCATATTATTAATGATAAAAACACGTTGCAATTCGACGTAGTTTAACATCTGACAACAATAACAGATGATTTTAAAATCGTAACTATAATTGACAATCAAAACATTTTCTCTGTTGTGTACCCCTTTGAGGGAGCATATCTACTTTCCTAAAGTTTTGGATGATTTTTTTTTTGTGCTGCGTCAACGAAAATAGCTATAACCTAGGGGCCGATATTAATATAAACATGTTAAACGCGACCACAACACACTGTGAACTCATGAGAAAGTTAGAGTCAGACGCTTGTATTAACACCATTACTTTACCAACTCGTATTTAGAAAGATTCTGCAACGCTACTTGAGGTTTTTATTACAAATATCGGCACGCGAAAACTAGTGTCGGTGTTATTGTGGTGAATGTCAGCGACCTCTTGCCCCATTTTTTTCAAACATTTCAAGACATTAATCCACTAACATTAGAACAATCTCCCAATGAACTCTCACACATTTGGTGGGAAATAGTATAAAATAAAACTACCCCTGATGATGCTTACGACACGTTTTTAAACCCTTTCAAGTCAGTTTATGTAAGGTTATTTTGTCACAAGACAGCAAGAAGCAAAAAGTCAAGGAAACCTTGTATAACGAACGAGTCGTTAAAACTAATAAAATAAAAAGATGCTCTTTATCGACGGTTTTTACAGACAAAAAACTCAAATGATCTACATGCTTTCAAAGTGTCTCGTAATAATATGACTAGTTTCCTTTGAAATGCAAAAAGGAATTATTTTTCCAACCTCTTTAATGCCGACATACTAAAATGAAGTGACATTACGTCGCAAAGGCTGAACACAGTACTTGGTCGTGGCCAGCAGCACCCGCAGTGTGTTCAAGAGTTACTTTTTAATGGCCAAACAACATTGGGAACGGCACTAGCTAACTCTTTTAACAACGTTTTTGAATCACTGGCTAACAGTACATACGATCCACGTCGTTTACCCAAAAGCCAGAAACCGTGAAAGTGCGTTTGTAGGACCGACTAATGCTGAAGAAATTTATTACGTGTTTCTTTTTTTCCATAACAGTAACTGTTGTGACGCCGATGACTTACAAATCCGTCCAATTAACTACGTCCTAGATCTTATTTGTCCTGCGCTTGAACATGTTAAAGCCTTTCATTTATACACGGTGTATTTTCGAAACGTATGCAGTTAGTGAGAGAGAGAGAGAGAGAGCGAGAGAAGTCTCGCAAAAGAGGAAAAACCAACGTTGGAGTTACAGCCATGGGCCGAACGTATGCAGTTAGCGAAGGTGAGCGTTTTGTATGGGTGACAAAAACGAATTATAATATTACAGACCAATATGAATTCTTCCCATTTTTACTAAATGCCTAGAAAAATTAATTAATGATAGGACGACTGCTTTTTCTGAAAATCATAGCATAATCACAGACTTTCAATTTAGCTTCAGCAGGGGTCGTTCCACCGAGTGAGCACTCCTGACACAAAAAGAATTGGTTCTCCATGCTATTGAACAGAAACTGCTAACACTAGGGGTTTTTGCAAATTTTTCAAAGGCCTTTGACAAAATTAACCACGTGTCCTTACTAAAAAAAAACTCGATATCTATGGTTTTTGAGGGGTATTTCTAGATTTGTTGAAAAGTTATGCTCAGTTTCGTTTCCAGAAAGTTGTTATAAACAACAAAATGTCCAATATTAAAGCGATTAAATCCGGAGTACCCCAAGGTTCCCCGGATTGACGTAGTAACACAGAGAACTGGGTGCGGCACTCCTCCAGCGGCAAGAGGGTACCAAGCGAGTAATCACCCACGCAAGTCGGATGCTGTCAAAGAAGGAAAGCGATTATTTAACGGCGGAGGAGGAATGCCTCACAGTCGTCTGGGCGATAACAAAGTTTCGTCCATACGGAAGTCCTTTTTCCGTGGTTACATCTAGACCACCACTCGCTCTGCTGGCTCGAAAACTCGAAGGACCCATTAGGACGTCTCGCACGGTGAAGTCTCCGACTTCGAGAGTTTGACATGACTGCAGTATACTATTCCGGCCGTAAGCATAGTGATACCAACTGTTTATCTAGGGCACCTGTCGAGTTGGCGTCCGAGCGCACCGGCGACGACGACGGCGTCGACAACGTTTTTATTGGCGCAGTAAGCATCAAAAACAAAAAAATGGAGACAGGGGAAAAGGAAAGGACAAACACGACATGGCAGCACGCTAACAAAACAATCCTGAGCTACGCGCGCTCGTTGAGCACCTGAAGGGACAAGAGAATGCAGTTACCCACGAGTATTCGCACGAACCTTAAACTTTTGCCGTTCATCAAGGTATGCTGTACAATGAAAACTTCGGTGAGTACAACTCAAAGTTGCTGTCGGTTGTCTCCACAAATCTTCGAGCGGAAGTGTTCCAGGCCTGTCATGGCGACCCGACGGTCGGACACCTATACTCTGTTTCACCATGTATTTCTTCCACCGTGGTTTCACCTTATGATATACCGCAGGAAAGGCTACAAGCGCGAGCTCAATTTGCTCTGGGGCACATCTCGACGGCACAAGCTCTCGTGCGTCAAGAGCAGCTCCCAACACTATGAGCTCGCGCTTCTAGCCTTCTCTGCGGTACAACATAAGGTGAAACGGAGTATAGGATGGCGAGCGGACGTGTCTGTGGAGAGCTCTTCCATTCGCCCGGCCCGCATTCATTTTTGCCTCTACGAATAGTTCGCTTTGCCCACGCTAAGCGACGTAGAGAACACCGAGGTTGTGCGGCTTGCACGCTCGCGGGGCCGGCCTTCTACAACTCCGGACCGGGGACAGCAGAGAACCCCAGCTACGCAGACGATGGCTACGCCAATTGAGGACAACACATGCACCACCCAGGCAGCAGAATACAAGGTCACGGCACCGGACGGCAACCCAGCCATGCCACTAGGACCGCCACACAACGGACCCGCTGCTAGCGACGAGAGATCTATTGGCGCCGTGCCAGCTACGCAAGTGCTGCAGTCGCAAGAAAAACGAGGGATGTCTTCAACTTCAGCGAATGGCATTCCTGCTCAAACTGTAAACCTGGAGCAAATCAACACCCAGGGCAGCAACGTCATTGTACACACAGTAAGCGACACTTAAAAATTTGCCTCGAGAACAAAGACGCCATCTCAAACTTCATCACAATGAAAGAAGATTTCGATTACTTTATTCGAAACAAAGAAGAACTTCAATGTATGATGAAAAAATTCCGGGAAACGGATTGGGAATCCTTCGAAGCTTTCACAGTAGAACAGAACCGCAAGAGAAAGCAACCTCGTGGAGTAAGCGCGATGAGAGGAGCAGAAAACGAGCCCATAGCCACCTCTTCAGAGGAAATCGAGATGGTAGAGGACCACCAGACCGCGGATGATTTGGCAGATTTCAAAGTGGTAACATACAAAAAATCGAAAGCTAAACAACCAAAGACCGCCACAAATGTAGCAGTACAAGGAACCTCAACTAACAAAAGTTCGAATGAAAATAAAAGCAAGTCAACGACTTCTGCGGCCGTCAATAAAATGTCGGTACAAGAATCCCAAGAAGTGGACAAGCGTTCAACAGAAAGAGAATCAGCGCTACCCGCAGCTGGTGGCAAACCAAAGATACAAGCAGTAGTTTTCCGCCCAACTTGCAAAAGGAACGTCATGGAATTCACTCCTAGGCAAATCAAGTCCGCCGCTGCAGAAGCGGGAGTTAAACATCTGGAAAATTTTACGCTTAAGTACAACCGAAAAGCGAACACGATAGCTGCAATTACGCAAGACACAACCACCGCAGACGAGCTCACCCAATTCAAGGAAATTTGCACCTCTGATATCAACTCCCCACTATGGAATTCCAGGCAGTGAGAGCACAGAATCCCAACCGATGCAAGGGCATTATATACTTCAAGAACATCCCAGAAGAAACAGACGAAACACTTTTGGAGGAAGTGTCCTGCCGAACACACAACATTATCCAAGCCCATATCTTTGGCCCAAAGAGATCCACTGTCTTGCTTACGTTTGAGGGAACGACAAGGCCGCGCTACGTGCGCTTCTGCAACTTTACATACAAGGTGCACGAATACTGGCCTAAACCACTAGTATGCTTCAATTGCCACCGATTTTGACACCGTGCAGACATTTGCCCCAGCGAAAAAAGCTATTGCGGCAAATGCGGCCACGAGCACGACGAAAGGAACGAGTGCACCCAACCACCAAAATGCAGGAATTGCGGAGGCAAACATCCAGCTACAGATAGGAACTGTCCCAAGCGAACCATCCCACCCTCTTCAGACAAGAACGCTCCACCGAGGACAAAAAAGCCGCTGCCGACTAAAGAGGACATAGAAGCCTGGCCGGAGCTTCCCCAGAAGCAAGAAAAGAATGGCCAACAAACAACAAGAGAGACTCGCTCTTGGGCCGACATGGCAGGGGCTAACCACCAAGGAGGCTTCATCTTGGAGCAGCCGATTACTGTAGGTCTTCATACGGCAATGGAAGCACGATTCCAAGCTCAAGATGCGCGCCTGGACAAACTCGAAGCCATAATAGAAAAACTCAGTGAAACTGTCAACACTCTAGTCCGCGCCCATAATGGAGGACACTGAACAGGGACAAGACACGCAGAAGATGGCTGAAAACCCCCCATGGATTTTACAATGGAACTGCAGGGGAATGCGAAACAAAATGGCAGAACTAAAACTGAAACTCGAACGCATGCAACAGAACACGCCGATAGTCATCATCTTACAAGAAGTTGACATGATTCAACCCAAGATCACCGGTTATAAGACATATCAACTCCCCACTATCATATACAAGAAGAAAAAGTCGGACCTCGGTGAACCATGTGGAGCGACAGCCACGTTCGTCAGAGAGTACATGGCTCAGACTGCACTTGACACTACGCACGTCTGCAATGAACTTCGGGAAGTCATTGCGGTGAGAATTCGAATCAAGAAGATGTCATACATTGTAACAAACGCTTATGTAAGACCTCGTAAGAAAGACGCCGACGACATAAGCTGGATCACCGATCTGGCCCGTGAAAAGAGGAAAAAGGAGCAGCTCATTGTTGCGGGCGACTTTAACGCATGGGCAAAAACCTGGGGCTACCGTAAGAACAGTCAGAGGGGAGACAGCCTAAAAGAACACTTTAAGGCTGCGGTCCCACGGCAGCCATCTTGAACAAGGCGTTAGTTCAACCAATAGATGGCGACACGCACCCGTGGGGTGGCCGAAACATTGGTTCACAGTGGGATGGCTCGAGCACCATCAGGTTCCCCTCGTGGCCTTGCTTGCGCCGCTGTCAGCTGTGCTCAGCTAGCTCAAGGAGCGTGCCCCAGCAAACGGATGTATGCGAGAATAGAGAGTTTTAGTAGATCGTTCCCATGACTCCGATAACGATATCCCGATACTCCGCCACCGCCTCCCTTGCGCATGCATAGTATCGTTATCGGGGCTATCGGAGGTATCGGAACGATCCACTAAAGCTCTCTAATGTCAGGCTGGGTATAAATTGTTGTCTGATATAGGGAGATGCGGTCGGCGGTTGTAACGTGTTTTCGCAATAAATCTTACCAAGAAGGAATCACATGTTGATTGACGTGTCAATATTCTATCAATGAAAATTTCCTCTGCAGGAATGCACGCTCAGTAGACTCAACCGGTGGAAGCGGACGTAAAGTAAACTGCTTCGCGATTTACGGTACTTACCTCACCATTTTAATGACGACTAAAATAACGTCACGAAATATTGTGTTTCACGGGGTCCGGAAGATGTTGTAAAGGTTGTTACATTATAGTTCCCGGAAAACAAACGCCGTTGCAATATTTCGGAAGTACCGACACACATTATGTTGTAAGTACAGCTTAGGGAAACCATCAGAAGAAATAGGAAGACGTTTATTTGCAATGAAGACGCTATGAATGAACGGCGTTTAGCGACGGCAAGTTATGAGCGTTCGGGAATTTATAAGTTGACGTGATTGCTAACCATGGACATGCGGACAATGAAGACCAGTTTTGTCGGGAGATGGTGTTGTGGTGATGACCGGATATCGGACGACTCATGGCAGACGAACAAGCAAGTTTCTTCTCGGCGATTGGTAAGTGTCCAGTTTCAAGCACAACACGTGGCTACCGACGTTGTCGACGTTTCGAACACTTACCGCTTTCGACAAAAGTCCTGGCACCTGGGCTAACTTTGTGGAAAGACTCGAACAGTAACTGAAAACGATCCACTATTCAGTCGGTGGGTGGCGAAACGTATCCACATCTGCGGAGTCATGTACGATGCGTACTCTAAGTGGCTGGAAGTTTACACGATGTCTGCCACGACGTCCAAACACGTCATTGACGTTCTACGGTCTCTTTTACCTACTTTTGCCCTACCGAAAATACTTTTCTCTGATAACGCGCCAAATCTTGCTTCAAATAAAATAAACAAGTTTTTGAAGAAAAAAAAAAAACGGCATCAGGCATCACATTAATGCACCATACCATCCTGCAACTAACGGGCAAGCAGAACAGATGGTGTGCAAAACGAAAAAAAAAATCCCTTTTGAAGCTTACGGAAGAAGCAGTTCAGTGAAGAATCGCCAGGTTCTTGTTCCGGCAGCACGCGTCGGTCTCATCTTACACGGAAAAAAAACCGCCGAAGCAATATTCGGCGGAAGAATAGCCACACCCCTCGATCTCATGATACTATCGCTTACGAACAAAGATCGAGAGATACCCACATCGGGAGTAATGGCAGTTTATTCGGTCGGACAACTCGCCTACGTGAGGAATTTCAGCGGAAGTCTGGCCTTCCATGTAAAACTTGAGTAGAAAAGGCTCTATGTTGGTTGACCAGGAGGTGTCATCTCTCTGAATAGGTTGGATATCAATGCCCTTAAGTGTAAATATAACTAAATCACAAACCTTTCTTTGCGTATTCTGTAACTGCCCTTGTATTTGATAGTAGAAGCTACGGTGGTGATCTGGACCTTTCACACCAGACTCCTTTTTCTTATTTTTCGCCTCATACTCCTTTGCGGTTTAAGTATGCTTCAAGAATCTTTTGGAACGGGGACACTTTACGTCAACGAGGCCATTTGTTCCAAGTAGTCAATCAGGGAATGCTGCTAGAAATCCGTCCCTCATATTAACGAATAAGCCGCGCTTCTGCACAGTGCAGTTTTCCTGTTCCACGTACAGTTGTAAAGCAGCATCCTCATTGATTCTACCATATACTGTTGCGGGTGAAGAAAGTCTTTGGGCACACGATACTTGAAACAAGTCTGGCACTGTACGTTGTGGTTCAACACCCATTAATGTCGTCGTCCATATAGAGCCTCATCATTTAATCATTACCTCGTCACCTCATATTGCTCTTCATCAACAGTAAGTACAATAGGCTACCGCCACATTACAATCCAAGAATTGAAAAATTAAGTCGTTCGGTCCTTCAACCAGTTTATAATTTATATAATGTTATTACGTTACATTACCTCGAGACGATCGACGTCCATTGTCGATCTTCAAATACTTATACCTGTATTTAAATTAGACGCACAAGGGGGGGTTGGTTGACGAGTGCATGGTCTAGCTCACACCAGCTCGGAGCACTGGGAGCAAAAGCTCGCGCTGCAGAAGCCACCCCACCCCTGCCCGTTTCGATCTGGAAGAGCATCGTACCGGCGTGCGGTCGTGCATCACTACTGCGTGGCGCACGTTGAAGACCCCAGGTTTTCGGTTGTACCGCACTGGCTAAATTGCTCATCTACAGCTGAGACACCAGACGCCCACTAAGGCAGACTAACTTCCGGCTGAATAAACATACACACAACAATTTGCAATTAGACGCATAATAACCAAGAACACAGTGTGCCGCCTCTTTTCTTTGGATGCCTTTTTTTCTAAACCATGCGCAAGCTCGTGCGTTCTCTCTTTTGAGACGGTTAGAACGGTCGCGTATAAAACCCGCGTTTCTCATACCCGCCCGCTTCCTCCTCTCATTATGTGTATTTGGTTATAACTAAATAAGCTATAATAATGGTGTATTATTCACATTTACTTTCAGTTTCAGTCAGGGAAAAGGAGTTTCGCGGCAACTAGAGCCAATAAATGAGCTGCGCTTAGAGTATCGGCACTCTCTTCCCCGACAGTGTTGTGAACGCCGCCATTTTGGTGCTTGTGCAGAGCAGGCGCAACTGCCGATCGTCATGATTCAAAAGTGCGACATCGTCAGCATTAGATTCGGTGTTAGGAAGCTCATGTAATGTTGTTTTGCTTTGTCGCAAACTGTTTAAAGTGGGGGACGGAAAAGCGTTTCTTGTGATTTCAGATAAAGCTTCAAATAACTGGCAACCATAATTTTAAGCCATGCTAAGGCCAAGCGTGGCTACCCTGAATCGTAACTTATTTAATAACACTATTCATGCTCTTCTTCAAGAGGCTTGTAATACCTAGGGTGCCTCAATGTCCTTCTGTTTAGGGTGATGCCACCCTCTGTAGTACCCGATGCCGACAGCACGCGCTCACGGGGAAAATACAAAGAAATCGACGAAAACAAAATGTCGCCATAGCACAATCAGCGCCACGAGCGCGTGCAGGGACACGCTCTTTCACGCGCTTCTGAACAAAAAATAAAAATAAAAGAGGGGGACAAAATGGCCAGATGTCGTGCTCCACCCTAAGCAAAGGGCACATGAAGTGCTCACCCAGTAATACCTGGAGGGGCCATATCGTAAACCCCGTGGATTCCACAAGCCACTACCTTTTGACACCTGCCTCTTCTTCATTGTTCCCGCTTGTGCCAGTAAATTAGCTACGGTTCAGAGTAACGACACTTGGCCATATTGTGGCTTAAAATCATGGTTGCCAGTTATATGAAGCTTTATCTAAAATCACAGGAAACGCTTTTCCCTCTCTCACAAATGTTTAAACAACCCGCGACAGAGCATTGCAATATTGCATCACCTTCCTAGCACCGCATCTAATGCTGAGGAAGTCGTACTTTTAGATCACGATGATCGGCAGTTGCGTTTTCTCGGAGCAATGGTGGCGCCCAAAACAATTTTGGGGAACGGAGTGCCGATACTTTAAAGCTCATTTAGTGACTCTAGGCATAAAGTGAACTCGGGTGTATTCTTTTCCTCTTCGTCTTCATTGTTTATTGATTTCAATCATATCGAATAATGAACACATTATATCACGCTACGCTTGTGTAAATATTGGTCTTAGATTTATTAGCCTGACCCAGTACTTAAACCATTCAGTTATCGATAGTAAATCTTCCAATATATTTTTTAAATGTGAGGGTAAAAAGACATAGAGATTGATGATGATACAGACGCCAACGCCGCCCTCGGAAATTTTTTGAACATTAGAAATCAGCAGTTTGTCTGCCATCCACCAGGTAGCGCAACAAAACACCCAAACAGTTTTTAATTGTTTTTAAAATTAGCTAAGCTCTACACCTATTAAGAAACCAAAGCAATATCATTGTGAAAATTTAATACATCGCAATGTATATCTATTCCAAACTATAAATGTTATTAAATGCCAATAAATCTGTTTGATGTCCAAAACAGATATGCGTCAAAAACAGGTAAGTTTGAAGGGCTCCTGGAGCGTTATGACTTTGAAAATGAAAAAAAGCCATCGTCCACCTCTTGGGCAACCATTGTAGCTCTAAATGTTATAAAAGATTTTATCATAGTTTAATTATTTCTTCAGCGGCATTTGAACTACCATGACACGAAGCACAAAAAAGTGCTGCGTTTGATATAGAATATCTAAACAAAAAAAATTTACACAACATTAAATTTTTTTCTGCATATTACCAATTTTAAGCACTACATCTGTAGCTAATTTCATTGCCCTAGCTCTTGTCAATAAAAACATATTTGTGCGGAAAAATGTCAATTTTAGGGCAATATTTGGTGGGATGAAAAAAACAAAGTAGTGCAAACATCAAAAAAGTGGATCGTTAGATTCTGCTCCGACATCATCTTAACAAAACTGCTATATTGGAACCGTGCTACCTTTAATGGATCGTTCATAAAACATGAACTAGCGGAGCAAGTGATGGTCCGCGCCATCATATTCGCAACGCTACAAATGCGCATGGACAGTAAAAACCAACACATACATAATATCAAATGAAAGAGGATTGCATTGCCTTTCAAATGACATCAATCCCACAAAAACAGTATTTAAAAGGAGATGAGTAATGGCCTGCCGAAAAGTACCTAAACTGCCACATTCAGTGGGACCGTGGCCTTAAAAGAGCCCAACTCCGCCTACTGAACAAAAAGAAATCCACGACCAGGTTCGGAAACAACGGACGGGAAACTTCACCGGACTTAACTTTTTGTTCATACAATACGAGGATCCAATGGCAGACCCTGCCAGATGCGATGGGAAGCGACCACTTTCCAATTAAGAACACCCTCGCTGCTGAAAGGCCAGTGACGAGAGAGACGAAATTTATCCAGTGGGACTGCTTCAGAATGGCCTTCGAAAGAGAAGACCAAGAACAGAGCATCGAAAGCAGGATCTTCAACAAAAATTTACAACGTCAAGGAAGAAGCCCCGGATCCGGACCTTCACCTCCTTAACCTATGGGCCAGCAGGCTACAAGCGCAACAACGATATCGAAAGAACAGGAAGAACAAAGTCCTGAGAGCTAAGTTCAATGCAGCATTTGCAAAAGCCAAAAGGTACACGATTCAGCTAAAAAGACAAAACTGGCAGAGACACTGCCACAGTTTTAACGAGAAGACCGGATCAAAAAGAATGTGGAGAACTTTTAAGGGTCTCAACAATAAGAAAAAAGCAAAGAAGACAGGGGAGAGCATCGCCCTCAGGCTGGGGATATCGGAGCAAGAACTGGCAGACACCGCTGGCTCCCAGTTCTTCCTTCCTGACAACACCAAACGGCCACTGGAGGACAGACCAGAGTATTCGGAAGCGACACCCATGGACGCTCCCTTTAACATGGGGGAGCTAGTCCAGGCACTAGCGAAGGCAAGGAACACGACGCCGGGCCCAGATCGGATCACCCTGGCCGCCTTGCGCAATCTTCCGGAGAAGGGCAAAGAGCAACTGCTCGAAGTTTTTAACAAGGTCTGGGAAAGCGGAGAAATTCCGGGAGAGTGGAAACACTCAACAGTGATTCCCATCCCGAAGCCGGGAAAACCGCTCGATTCTCTGCAAAACTTAAGACCAATATCCCTCACTTCAAATATGTGCAAGATTAAGGAGAGGATGCTGCTGGCTAGGATCACCTGGATGTTGGAGGACAAGGGCAAGAACGAATCTCCCGCCTACTCTTTATTTTAGACCGGATTCAGACCTGGCCTTAGCACCACGGACAGCATAGCCCTCATTCACAAAGACGTGCTGTCCAAACAAACTTCTAATAGACCGAAGACAGTGGTGGCAATTGACGTAAAAAAGGCCTTCGACTCGGTACCTCACTGGGCAGTGATTCGGGGAGCCTTCAACAGAGGCCTCAGGGGCAAATGCCTACAGTTCATCAGGTCATTCTTAACTGAGCGAACTTTTTCTGTGCAAGTCGGCAGAACAGAAGGGAAGACCACTGTCCTCACCAGAGGCGTGCCACAAGGCGCAGTGATATCCCCCACGCTTTTCAACATGGTGATGGCGGACCTTGCATTCGAACTGGACAAGCATGAATGCTTAAATTATACCATCTACGCCGATGATATCACGTTGTGGTCAGTCGCCCCAACCATCTTATTGCAGCAACACTACCTAAACGGCGGTTTGGACGCAATAGCCTGCTTTCTGGAGAACATTAATATGGAAATATCTGCCGAAAAGACACAGTACGTAATAGTAGCCAACAAAACGGGCAGAGAAAGATTCAGGTCAATGCGGTTGGACGTAAACGGAACGACCATTCAAAGGGTCCCGGAAGTCAAAATTCTTGGCGTGATTATTCAAGAAGACGGCCGAGCGACCAAATGGTACGATAACATTAGAAGGACATGGAAGAGCACCATTGGAACAATCAGCAAGGTCACAAGCAAATCATGGGGGGCACAAGAACATACCCTCCGAAGGCTTGTACGTGCCCTGCTGGTCTCAAAAACAATGTACGGGTGGAACTACCTTCGCCTCTCTAGGGCTCAGAAGGACGGACTAGAGCGTTTGAACAGCAACGCCAGAAGGCTCATCACTGGGCTCCCTAAGTGTACCAAACTTGAAGATTTGATTGAAATCGCCGGTATCAACAGGCTGAACGAAATTGCGGCCGAGGACAAACTAAGCCAAGTATTGAGACTACAGAAAACACCGGCGGGGAGAAAGATTCTTAACAAGCTAGGATATCAATACGCCACCAACCTGTACGAAACTGCATCCCCGCCATGGGAAGACACCTTCATTACAGAGACAAAGCCCGTCCCTCAAAATATGAGCAAAGAACAAGAAAATAGAAGATGTACTATGGCAAGGGGCCATCTCAAACAAGCGCAAGCCGAAGTAGAATCGGGAAAGTCTGTTTATTACTCAGATGCGGCCGTCTCCAAAGACGTCGTAGCTTTGGCGACAGTTAACAGCAAGGGGGACCTGACCCTCTTAACGCTAAACGAGTCCATTGCTTCTCGAGATGCCGAACTCAAGGCTATTCTTATGGCAGTTGAAAACTCGGACCCTCAACAAGAATGCCTCGTCTACACGGACTCTAAGGCCGCATACGAAGAATGCAGGAACCCATCCACTTCTAACAAGAGTGTAAAGGCCATCAAAGCACGCGTCATGAACCGACAAACAAAGCTTAGTGGTGGTGGTGGAAAACCTCTTTATTGGTCCTGCGAAAACCCCTACCCCTCCGTCACCCCTTCACCAACACACCTACGCACAGTCTGCCGGTGAAGCAAGCGCCGGGTTCGCTGGACGAAACCCCTTTGTCCCTCCAAGTTCACACACATCACACCATCCTTGAAGTCCTCCGGCCAGTCCTGGGTCCCCGATGCCTCATGCCCCCGTTGTTCACAGTCCCACACAATATGCTGCAGCGTTGCCCGACTGTCCTTGTGAGGTGGATCCCAGGCCACCAAAACATTCCTGGGAACGAGGCAGCACATGCCGCAGCACGTGTCATGCTCTCTTCTCCTTCCTTTGATCCCGGCTATGGTGGCCTCACGTGCTCCCAGGAAAGACAAGACCCCACAGCCCTCAAGGACGATGAGCGGACAGAGCGCCGAGAGAGGCTCCATGTACTTAGAAAACAGGACTCACAGCCTTTGCCGGATGGACCCTACTCCCGATGGGACAGGGTCTGCATCAGGCGACTACGCACGGGAACCGCCATGGTACCTAAACGTACTGCAATGTATGCTTGGAACAAGCAAAGACTGAAAAGGTACAGCGGAGAAACTCAGACCCCGCAGACGACATAGACGAAAGTCTCTGCCGACACTGCAGGGTCGTGGCCTCAGAAAATCACGTTTTCTGGGACTGCACAAACATTTTTGAGAAAAAAGAAGAAATTTTACAGACCATTGCCGAGGATCACAGACCAAAGAGCTTGGCGGAATGGACCAAACCATCCGGCTCACCCAAGCATCGAAAAGAACTATTCGACTCCCTCCTTCGTTTCATTAAGGAGGCTCACCTGACTCACTACATTTAATCCCCCTCCCCCACCCCAGTTTCTTTCATCTTATTATTATTAAAGACATTTTCAAACAAACGGAGTATAGCATACAGCAGAGCACTTGCAAGGATTCGTGAGAAGTATTCCTAGCCCAAGCTCCCGAAGACCGTCCATATTTACGTCCGATCGTACCACGATTGTCAACGACGCAAGAAACCATTGACGCAGCCAGCACGACTTTTGCAACCGATTGCACCTCCAACCGCGTCCTTCCAGCAGATCAAAATGGATTTGCTTGGTCTCTTCCCACCGTCGACAATGGGAAATCGCAATTGATGATCTGAACGGTACGCCGAGTCGAAAGCCCTTCCGTCGGGGACTGCTGTTGAGGTTGCCAAGTTCTTCGTTGAATCCATCGACCTCCGGCACGGTGCTTCCGAAGTGCTGATCACATATCGAGGGTCGTCGTTCCTGGCGCCACTGACTCAAGAAATATTCCGACTCAGCCACACAAGCCACCGTCAGACCACTACGTACCACCCTCAGACAAACGGGCTGACGGGGCGACTAAACAAGACCATTGCCGACATGATCTCGATGTACGTCGACTTAGAGCACAAAACGTGAAATGAAATTTTACCACGTCGCATTCGCCAACACTGCGGTTCAAGAGACCACAGAAGTTACACCTTTCCAGCTGGTGCATGGTCGGAAGGTGACGACCATGCTCGACGCGATGCTTCCCCACGAGCTAGCTGACGATGGAAGCGACGACGCCCAGGTGGTTGCTCAACGGGCTGAAGAGGTTCGCCAGCTTGCCCGACTCCGATTTCAAGACCAGCAACATCTCGACGCGGGCCGCGGCCCGCTACAACCTTCGTCGTCTGGACGATCCAGGGTGGCCAGTTCCGCTTATTATGAGCGGATTTGGGCTTCTTTTTTCACCGAGTCGTTGGTAGATTTTTCCAGTCGCTTGTCGCGTTTTTTGGGCTTATTCGTGTTTTTCCCGCAAATATTGTTATTTCGGTGCTCGTCATGCTCATTGACAGCGCGTTTGTAGTCAAAAACGTGAAAAACAGCATGACCGTTTGGCGCCACGGTTAGGTGGCCCAAGCAACCGTCCGTCAGAAAGTACAAAACAATTACTATCCATTCACAAATGTTTTGGCGCCTTGCCCATCCTGCCAGTCGGTCGCGGTCGTCGTGTCTAGTTGCCATTGTATTTTGCGCAAAATGGCTTCAAAGTGGGCGAAGTGTGGCAAAAGATATTGTAAAGAGTGGGAAAAGGAAACGCAGCTTAAGGACTGGCTGCGACCAGTCACCGGAGACGATAAAAAAGCAGCGTGCAAGTACTGCAAGTGCGAGAACCGCGCTCATCATGCCGACCTCGTGCAGCACATGGCAACAGAAAAAAACGTGAGGAACTCTCGGCCACTTTCCAGTGCACGTTTGACTACCATGGGCTTGACCAAGTCGTCGCCTCCAAAAACGATACCAGAACTGGAGCTCAAGCTGGCATGTTAATGTTACTCAGCGTGCCATGCACTATCCGGCGGATGGTAGCATGGAACGCTGACTTTGTATTTGAGCGAGTTCGCCTTCATATTTGAGCCAGTTCTCTTTCTTATCTTATTCTTAATAAACTATTTTCAAGGATGTGTACATTTATTGAACTTCCGCTTGTTTTGGGCTTCTTCACAAAGGTCACGCCGCTTTCTTTGGGCTTGGTTGGGGACGACTATTTGCTTATTCGCTCGGCCGCATCTGGCCAGCCTGGGACAATCACTTCCAGCCCGGAGACAGCGTGCGGGTATTGACACCCATCCGTCGCCGTGGCCTCAGCGAAAAACTGTTGAAATGGTACTTCGGACCGTACAAGGTACTTTGCCACTTTGAGAGTTCAACTACGAAGTGGTGCCCGATGGAATGCGAGCATCACCACAACGCCGACCGCAACTCGAGGTGGTCTACGTCGTTCAACTCAAGCTATTTTGCAAGCGATAGGACTGCGGTGTATTTATTGTTGAGACGATTCCGCAGTTTATTGATTGATGGTTTAGCTTTGTGTTGATTTACTTAAAGGGGTGGTGCAACGATATTCGCTTGGATAGTTCTTTAATTTACACGAGCTTACTGGCACTTCTGGGACCGAAGTATGCTCGCACGCAACGCCGCTGACCAAGAAACTCCTTTGTTCGAGCGTTTTCTTTCAATCTCTCCTTCGTAAACCTTGATGATGTAACTGGGGGATCGCAGTATCCCCCAATGACGATATTTGAATGCGGCTCATAGATTGGACCTGAGAATTGCGTGAGCCCTCGATTTGGGCTCGTGATAATCAATAGCTTGACAAGCATTCGGGTAGTGGCCCGTGCCATTGCCCGTGTCCAGTCGATAAGAATAACGACAATAGCCGAACCATAACAATGTCTGGAACTCAGCGCGTGTCCTGTGCTTTGCCAACCCCTGCGCGTGGCTACGATCAACATAGGCCGCATATATTCTGCTCCAGATCACGTGGCCACTTGTTCTGGTTGCGAGTTAAGGGAGTGAAAGCTGCTCGTTCTTTAATTTTTTCGGCGACTTCTACAGCGTGGGGTGAAAAACGATCGCGTCTTGCATAGGTCATCAGCGTCCCGGATTCGTTCTAAGCGGCATCTGCTCAAAGTACGAAAAATCGTTGCATCGCCCTTTTAAGTTTGCAACGAGGCGATGTACTTTTAAAGGGGGGGAGTAATGCTGCGTGCATGACCGAGAAGAAACGCTTCTCCGTGGATCTAGAAGTTTCGTGCTTATTCGTATCCCCAGTGTAAAAGATGAGGAGGCCAGAATGACCTTGCCTAGTAAGTCCCGCCCGACCTAACTCACGAACATTCTAGGTCGAATGTTCGAGAGGACGAGTGTACTAGATAAGGAGCCGAGCACGGTATTGCGGACTCATGCACTGCTTCACTCTCGCGATAGCCAGCTGTTACGCCGACGCACCGTCTCTCGCTGATGCCGCCGTCGTCGCTCGCGTCTGTTTTCTCGATGCGTGTTCTTTCTTTTTCTTTCTGGCACCAGTTCGCCGATTAAACCTGTCTTTTCAGTTCATGTTCATTATTTATCGCCTCGTCACCTTCATCCGTGACAATATGACGTTCGTGGACCTACAGCCATCTTCGTGGCTCTTTGCCCGCGCCGTTTGTGTTATGCAGCGCGCAGCCCTTACTCGTCCTCTTCTGTAACCCCTGTGCTCAGGGGCATGCAAATGAACAAACAACAGCAACAAGTTTCTGGTCCCTCCTGGGAACAAAGCAGCTTATTTCTGTCTGCCAGAGACACAGCCCTGTATTGTCCTGGAGAGCTCTTCTCATCGCGTCCACTCTTATCGAGGGAGCTCGTCCAGTCGCGCAACTGCAGCTGCTCTCGCGGACTTTCTCTCGACAACGCCACATACACGTTCACCTGGGTGACGACTAAAGAAAATACAAAACAAAAATGCAAAGCCCTCACCGCGTTTTGTCGCTCGCGTTAATCATAAAAAGTGCAAAATGGAATTTTTTTTTCTCTACCATGCAAGAACCCACGTTCAACCAGTCTTTCGCCATGCCGTCCGAGAGTCACGTTTATGAAGGATTGTCTTGTAAAAAAGCAATAACTTCAGCTTTGCTAGTTAGCGAGCACCAAAGAAAAATAAACATTTACCCCCTTTCAGTAGCGTTTTGAAGGGCTTCCAACGGAAGGTCTTTTTAGAATCGTTTGGTAATGATAGTAACGCATGATTTGGAGTAGCTACCGACTTTAGGTGCTTATGCGTGTGTAAATCATAAAAGAATGGAGGGAACAGGAAGCAAGGGGCTGGTATTGACAATAGTTTACAGATTTTTTTCTTCTTCTCTTGAACTGTAAAACCGAGTGAGCCTTTTCTATCTAAAGTGCTTTTTTTGTTTCACCGAAAAAATATTAGTTATATTGAAACAACCACAACAACAACAACAACCGAGGTTAGTTTCTCTTTATTAATATATCTAAGGAACGCAGGAGTCGCCCACCACTGATTAAAGGGGCGGTACAACGATATTCAATGGGAATGTGTTTTTTTTTTTTCACTTGACACGAGCTTACTGGCACTAGTGAGACCCAATTATACTCG